GGTCCCCGAAGTTGCATTTTTTAAACTACCGAGTAGCCAACTCCACTAAATAAAATCACCCAGATAAAGAAATCAAGAGAAGGAAGTTCTAAAGCATCTAATCCAAGTTCCCAAGCTGCAAACAAAGGAATTCTGGATAGAAAAAAACACACGCAGCTGTAAAGCTTCAGCTGAAAAACATAAAAGATCTCTCATTTACATTATTAAATACATTTTTCATGGTAATGAAAGAAAGAAGCATCAACTTACTTTTACAAGTAGGAGAAGAAAAACAGAACTTCAATAAGAAAGAAAGAAAAGAAAGGTGTTTGAGATGGAGAGTTAAGAAACCTGGGTGATGGCAGCTTGAGTTTTGTTTGATCTTTGAGGTTCTCAGTAGGCAGTGACTGTTTTTGAAACAAGAGGCTTTAGTGGTGCTTTGCAAGTCTTTGTTGTTTTCTGGGTATCTTTCTTGCAATTATTTATATGAAAATAGACAATTTTGGCACAAGAAGAATATAGAAGCAGCAGAATATTTGATTGGGAAGTGTATAGTAAATAAATGAACCATTAAATTTAATTAAATTTTAGACATAGGCATCGAGTTTGTCGCCGAGCGTCGTGTAATTTTCATTTAGCTAAAGGAAACTTTCAAAGGGAGGTTGTAAACAGCTGGGTTCGAGCACAACGAGACAAGGGTTTCTGTTTTTTTCTTGTCCAAACCAGGGTCTATCCATCCCTCGATCGGGCTAGATCGGAATTTTGATTAACCTCATTTAATTTGTTTAAATTATATTTTTCACTTGATATTTTATCTGATCTAAATTTAAGATGATTTCATTCTACTCGAATTGAGAATCAACATTTAATATATATTTGCATAAACTTTTTATTTTATTTGATAAAATAAGGATATAGTTGAAAAAAATAATATAAAAATATATATTATAATTATTCTTAAATATATAAAATATAAATATAATATTTTTAGATTACCGCAAATCATGTATTTTTCGTCTAAAAACATCAACCCAAACCTTCCCTAAATGTTTTTCCTGTTTAATTCAATTAAATCGAATGAAATTGAAATTTGATGGATTTGAATCTCATATAAATCTCTTTTCTTGACTAATCACTACTATCGTCGTGCTAAGTGAGCGACAAAATAAAACAGAGTATTCAATTTTTATGTTAATCATTTAAAAAATATATATATAATTAAATTTAATAAAATAATGTTTAGATCGAACAACATAACAATACTGAATTATAATATATTTTTATAATTTGAACCTTTTTTATTTTGGATTTGTGCGATCTTCCCTCCAAAAGTAATCCAAATTTTGATGGAGTTGTAAAAGCCTATGGAACGGAAACATTTCTCGTTCTTTTATATTTTAGGAACGTGAAAAAGTAACTTTTAAAAGTTGAAAAGAAATAACTAAATAATTTAATATCTCACTTTAATTTTATGTATCTTTTATGAAGTACTCAGTGATAAATACAGTAGATTAAACTAGAATAACACAAGTATTCTATCACGGCTTAATACAAAAATAAGTTATTAAATTTTACCTCAAAAAATTATTTGGTGTCTAAAATTTTTTTTATTAAAAATTAGTGTCTAAAGTTTTTTAGTTACAATTTTAAGTGTACACCGTTATTTCTTACAAAAAATATTTTTTTAATAATAAAATGTTTTAATGAAATTATAATTAAACTCTAAAAAATTAAAATATCTCATTTCAATCATGTTACCAACCGTCACCGACCCTCTCCGACCACCATCGTCATCCCCGAACGATCACCCACCCGTCACCCAAATCCCCTAAATCTCTAATATACAAATCCCTAAACCTTTAAAATCTTAATCTCCACGACTGAACGTCGGAAGAGCAACGACGAAACGACGACGAGGATGAGTTTTGAGCGGACTTACACGGTGTACTGAATGTTGGTGGTTGTGTGGCTTATTGACGTCGGGATCGGTCGAAATTGATAAAAACAACGACAGTAGCTTAAAATACGACAAAACCTTTGAATGTTTCTCTACGGCAAACGGTGACAGCTTACGGAGAAAGGTTAATGGGGGTTTGGTCGGGGGCGTCGTCGGTGTTAATGAAGGTGGTGGTGACGATCACGAATAGTCGACCGACGACCATGGAAAGGGAAAGGGAAAGGGAAAGGGAAAGGGAGAAGGGGGCTGAGCATGAGGGATTTGGGTTTTTTTAGAAAAAAATTAAAAAATATTTTTAGTTATTAAAATATTTTTTAAAATTACCATACATGTGTTAATTAACAGTCAAATTTAAAGGCCGTTACGATCCAACCACCTAAAAGTGCTATGATAAAAACGTTAGACACTTAATTTTAACAAAAAAATCTTTAAGCACTAAAATTTTTTTTAGGCAAAGTTTAGGTACTTGTTTTTGTATTAATCCTTCAATGTAGATTATTAAGGTACATGGTAAAATTATCAATAGAAAATAAGGATTTTAAATTTCAATTAAAAAAAGTAACATGTTGATCTTAGACAAGATTATATTTTATAATTTCAAATTTCATAACATAATTTTATTAAATTTCCTAAAGCAATTTAAATGGAGAAAAAATGAAAACCAATTTAACGAGGAAAAACTTTAAAAATAACTTGACCAATACTATTTTTTTATTAATTGACCAAAACTATTAAATTAGATATAATGTAAAAAAAATGTTATTAACGTTTGATTAAATAGTTAATTTAATTTTTATTCTTTTTTTTTGGAGATCTTTAGCCTGTAATAGTTTACTTTCGGATAAAAAAATTCATAATATTTGATTAAATAATCACTTTAACATTTATTCTTTTTTGTTTTGTATTTTGATCCCACTGTTTATTGTATGATTAAAAAACTCTATTTTAAAGTGTTAATCATTTATTAACTAATAATTTTCATATCAACCTTTGATCAAAAGAAATTAAAATATCGTAAGTTAAAAATAAATAATAAAGATGAAAATGACTATTTAAATAAATATAAAAAACATTTACATTATATGTAATTGATTAAATATTGTAAGACAGTGTGAAATGACACTGCATAATAATATGTTATTAAAATAGCCATAGCAAGTGGTGAAGGATGTGATTCTATGGACAGTGTTGGGTCAAAAAGTTATGAGACAAGATGGAGCAATCGGAGGAAAGGAAACGCAACAAATTTCAAAAGGTAACCTCAATTTATGTTATGATAATCCCAAAAAGGCATCCACTTTGTCCCTTATTTTTATATGTAATGAGATAAGGAGAAATAAGATAGTAGGCTGCCTTCAACATCAAGGTAAGAGTAATTTCCGTAGAAGATCTCTAAATTTTAAAATGTTCTCCGTAAGACTCGATCGTACGAATTCAAGATTAAAAACTTTGTGTTCTACCAAATTAGAGTAGTAATGGTGGGGAATTGAACAAAAACCGCATCTCTTTTGTCTGTATAGTCGGAATGCACGGACTGGAGATCCCATCCGTCAAAAAAGTCTCTTTTAAATCTCAATTGTTTCACACACAAATAAGATAAACTTTTCATTATAGACAACATTTCTTTTTCTTTTACAATATTCGAAAATAAAATCTTATTTAATCAATGCCCAAATCTTTCCCTTTATACCTTTTAGCTGGATAAATTACACCATCAGTCACAGCTCTATTACTTCTTTTCTTTATGGGTAAACTACAGAGTTGGTCAGGCTCACGTAATCATCTTTCTTTCTTTAATATAATCTTAAAGATTTGTTTAACGGTTGCAGTATTTGAAATGCAGTTCTTATTTAGGAAACTTTGAGATCGATGTTGGATGTAAGGTTTATCTCATCATCGGAGGAAAGGATATGGAAGATGCAAGACAAAGATTGAAGAAGGAAGAGTGTTCTTTATTCAACGATAGCTTTATAGAGTTTTTCCAGTTTGAGAATCATTCATTTTTTTTTATCAATTAGATTGTGGATATAGAGCTTTTCAAGTTTGTAAAGCAAAAACATGGGAAAAACTACGAAGCCTGTGGCTGGAGATATTTGCCATCCCACACTTGGGATGCAACAAGATTTAGCTGTTGAAATTGCCAAACATGTCCAAATCATTATCAACGTCGCAGCTGACACTGGATTCGATCAAAGGTTAGATCGTAAAACGAACATGGAAGATACGATGCTTATAACAAAGTAAAATGATTCTGCAGATATGATGTTGCTCTTCAAGTAAATGCAACGGGACTTTGCAATCTATTGAATTTTTACAGCAAGTGCAGAAATATCGAGCTCTTCGTGCATACTTCAACAAGTATGAAGTAAAAAAACATTTATTTTGTTATGTTTTCGACATCTAAACGTGGAACTTTGTTTGTCATGAGATATTTGCAGGCTCTGCTAAAAGATATTCAAGAGAAGGAAGATTCATGGAGGAAAAGGAATGTTTAATGGTGGTAGGAGAGTTAAAGGTCACCGAAGCAGTGGTTTAAAGATGACGGGGGAAATAAGTGTAAGAAAGAAAACATAGGAAAAAAAAGATAAATTGATATTTTATCTCTAAATTATTTTGGATTTATAAAAAAATCCATAATTAGTAATTTATTTAAAATTTAAGGGTTTAAATAAAAAATAAACTTTTTTTTACAAATGTGTCATGTCATCCAACTCATGACAACTAGAGTCTCGACGACCACATTCTAATTAAAACAAAAAAAAAGTGACAAATTTTTACTCAAGCGACCATACTTTTATAAAATTGAAATAAAGTAACCTACTATGTAGTTTACCCTTTTTTTTATTTTGGTTATCAAACTTCTTTTTTCAAAAACATTAGTAGCATTACGTTTTTTTCCTGATTAAAGTGATATTGACAATTGGGAAATAAAAACACATGACAAAGCATTGATGTTGTAAAGACGCCCACCGCTGTCGTTCGCCCATCCCCTGCTTCATTCATCCACAATAAGCTAATAATACCTGCGTAATTCACAAGTACGATAAAAAAAAAGGGGGGTCACCAACTAATTGTGGACAAAACATCTCTTCAATTTCAGTACTAGATTACTAGTTAAAATAGGGTCTTAATAAAGAATATCTCAGGAGCATTAACTCCATAATGACAGTACCAGTTGGACACTCAAAACCACGAAATTATCCTAACAAATTTTAGTTTAAACATCAGCCTACATCAAATACACCAAACCATACAAAAGATGGCAGGACATATATCATTGACTGGGAGTCCTTTCCCCATTTAGGTCCCTCTTGTACTCCTCCAGGCATGGACTCCGGCTCCTGCTTCTGAATGGGCTTCCAACTTCTCGTGGTGGGCGGCTTCTGCTCTGTCTTGGGCTACGGCTCCTTCCCTGGCTTGGGCCTTGACCCCTGTCTAGACTCCGGCTCCTTGAGCCATTGTATGGTGGGGGAGAACGTGAATACCTCACTCGGCTGTGGCGCCTTTCTTGGGGTGAAACAGATCTGCATAGAGCAAACATCCAGAGAATTATATTGACTTTAAGAAACATGGCATAAACATATGAAAAAAGAGAATATTAGACCTGAGGAAGAAACAAATCTACTACCTTGAGTAATGCCTATCTTTAGGAGGGGAATAATCATGACATCGAGATCTGTATCTTCCATGACAAGGCGAAAAGCGAGAATAACGAGGTGAATGAGAGTATGGAGGAGGGGACCTTCTCCTTTCACGATATCGACATTGAAAGTTGAGAAACAAGCAGAAAGCATAACAATTTTACTAGAACGTGTAAAGCAAATCCAAATTTTACTAGGAAATTTCTTTGTTGCATGGGATTTATGGATATGTTTAGCAGCACAAATTTTACACAACACACAAAACAAAGAAAATTGAAGTTACTAGACACGCATTATCCGACCTCTACTAACATCGATGTACCGTAAACATTGTGTCCCAAATACATGCAGATAACCTACATACATATAAAAAATGCTCCTTCAAAATACCAAAGGAATCTCAACAGGTCCATTTTATTATGCATCATCTACGCCAAGGAAGTTGGGAATTTTAAATGAATTAAATTGTTCCTACATTTCTTTCAATTATTATAAGATATCAAAAAAAAAAAAAACTCGACCACTTATGAGGCCAGGACTATAAATATACTGGAAAGCATACCTTGCTCGCTCTCTGTACCTCATTTCAGTAGGTTTCTTCCTCTTTTCTTCAGCAAAGACAACGGTCAACTCTCGACCAAGAAGAACCTGCCCATCCATCTGGTATTTGGCTTCAGCAGCATCAGCAGGATCGACATATTGGACAAAAACAAAACCTCGAGGTTCCCTGAAGAATTACATCAAAGTGTCACAGCAATGCAACAGCAGAAAATAAAATCTAACAAGAACCATACCGTCCTATAACCTTTTCAAAAGATATTTCCAACATAATCCCCATTAATATGGAAGATCATCATAAGCATGAAAAGGCAAGCATTGCCTGCTAACCTTGCAAGTATCAGTTTAAAGATCACATGAAATTCTTCAAGACTTGGAACAGCTTCAAAATTTAATCAAACCAACTTTCTTCCAATCGTCACTATCATTAACATCATCTTCAAAAGAACTCTAATTACTTGCTTGGTGTCTTCAAAACTCTAGTTTCACTGTTAAACCTCAACAACTTCAATTAACAAACCCAATTTGTGATTACAAAAGAGAATACTTAAAGAACTGCCCCAACATCAAAATGGATATTCAGATGAAGGAGCAGTTATTGGTAAAAGCAAAGAGAGAAAAAGATGGGTTTTTAAAACTTTGCTAGAACCATTAAAATTAGAGACAAGAAATTTGAAGAACCGTAAATTTCTCAATATACAATCTACTTGGAACATGGAAGTTATGAATTTTTTATACCAAAAGAAATCATAAAAATGTACAAATTACGCACTAGAATTTATGTGGTTCCAAAAAGAATGAAATGTCACCAAACATGGCTGATGATTGTTGAAGTATGTTGAAGCTGCAGGCTGGGTTACTTGTGCATGGCTGATGCATGACTAAATGATCGGTTCACACGTGCATGGTTGTTATTAAACGCCATAGCAACTATGTTCTATTAGGCTGTTAGTTAGTTTGCATTTCTGTTAGAAGAGGCAGTTAGAGTTCTTGCTAATGTGCTTGAAATCTTGGAAACTATATAAGGCATGTAAGGGTGATGACTAAATGATAAGAAAGAAAGCATTTCTTCTACTTCCTATTGTTCATACTTAAAACACGAGCTCCAAGCTCTTTCAATATGGTATCATTCGCTACTACATCCTAGGATGCGTTTTCGTTGTCCGTTCTTCTCAATGGATCAAAGTTTATCTTCTACAGCCACTTCATTGGAGTTCTCTTCAAGAAACACAAAAGTATTCACCAACAAAAGGGTGAACATGGTTATCGATGAAATGAAGTTATATCTTTGGAAACAGCAGGTGCTACTCACTGTAAGGAGCCACCGTCTCGAGCGAATGTTGAATGGCACAATGCTGCCACCTCCAGAAACGATTATTGGTGAAGAAGGAGTTGCAGTTGTGAATGAAGAACATAAAGAATTCTTGGCTCAAGACAGTGTGTTGGCTTCTTGGCTACTGTCAACAGTCAGTCCCTATTTGCTTCCTCAATTTGTTGGCGCTGAAACATCTGCCCAGGTATGGAGCAAAGTCTTGCAATTTTTCGCTAACCGTTCTGCTACTGCCATCATGAGTTTACACAACAAGCTCCAATCCCTCAAGAAAGGAGGAGATAGCATGCGAACTTACCTCGCAAAAGTAAAAGAGGTCACTGATTCATTGAACTCATGTGGTAGTCCAGTGTTAGTCTCTGAGCATGTTCCGAGCATTCTCAAAGGCCTTATAAGGGAATATCAGCCATTCATATCAGTTATATCTGCTATGTGTGACACATTGTCACTTGACAGCATTTGCACAATGCTTATTGATGTTGAAACTCAACTTGAAGGATTTGAGTATCAGCTTGATTCTTTACCTTTCAGTGCAAATCTTGCACAAGGGAAGGCTGAACATGAGTCTCGCAAGAACCATAAAAAGTAACACTTTCAATCAAATCATTCATCTTACACGCGTGGGAGATCTCGTGGCAGGAAAAGAACTAGACCTAAAGTCCAATGCCAGCTATCTGGCAAGAATGGACATCTTGTTAGTCAATGTTGGCACAGATTCGATGAAGATTTTTCAGGCATAACGATCGACGATCACAATTCTGAGCTAGAGTCTTCAAAAGTCTACTGTGCTGCAAATGGTAATAATGAAAGTGCGTGCACGCACTGCAATCACAGTGGCACGTATCATGATGACAGCAAGAATGTTGGGAGAGGTCAAGCACATGCAATGTCTGCTGGCCAAGATCAATGGGTAATTAATTCTGGTGCAACGCACCATATTACCTCCAATGCAGCCTCGATCATGCATCACTCGAATACTAGCAACCCTGGTAAGTTGATGGTAAGATATGTGTTGAAACATTTTAATATTTCGATATAACAAATTAAGTTAAATGGATTTTAAGATTTTCCAAATGATTTTCTAAGTATATTCGATATAACTATTCGAATATCAAAACATTACTCCAAATATTTCAAAAATCATTTTTGATCCTTACTTAAGTGTAAAATTAAGTTTTAATCATAAAACAATTTCAAAATATTTTACAAAGTATTTCGAACCAATTCAAAGCCAAAAATTCCAGAATACTCAGAGGGAACCGATTCCCCCCCATAGGAGGAACCGATTCCCCCCTGAATGGTTTGGCTCCGAGATTTCCAGAATGCTCGGAGGGAACCGATTCCCCCCAAGGGGGTACCGATTCCCCCCTGTTCAACGGTCGAAATATTTGAATTTTACACTTAGGGAACCGATTCCCTATGATAGGGAACCGATTCCCCCCCACTGTCCAAGCTGTTTTATTAAATGTTTTCACACTAAAACGGCTATAATATCTTCTCTAATTATCCCCAACGTTCAGAAGTGATTCAAGGTGTATTTAAGCAAGCTTAGAAGCCATTGATCAACAACAAAAAACATCAAGCAACTAGAATCAAGAGAGAATCAAAGAGAAAGCATCAAACCTCAAGTTTGAGCATTTCAAGCCCATTTTCATTCAATATTCATTTTGCTTTCAAGAACACTTTTGTGCTCAATTGTATTCATCTTTGAGTGTTCTTTTCTTTGTTCTAGAATTGTGCAAACATCTTACCTTGTGAGGTTTTCTTGTAAGTTTGCAAATTTGTAATCTTCTCTTTGAGAAAAGAGTGTTCTCAAGAGTTGGGGTATACTCTTGAGGGAATTGTAAGGTTATCTCTTTGGCCTCAAAAGAAAGAACAAATTAGTGAATTTGTTGGAAAATCCTTAGTGTGGATAGCTAAGGTAGTGGACGTAGACTTTGTTTGAGAAAGTCGAACCACTGTAAATCGCTGTGCAATTGCTTTCAATTTTCTGCAAAAGCTTCCACAAAATTTTTATTGCCAATTCACCCCCCTCTTGGCCAATTTCGTCATTCGATTAACTCAACAATTGGCATCAGAGCCTAACTCATTTGAAGGTTTAATCGCCTCTTGAGTCGATCCGGGAAGAGTTACATCGATTACAAAGTCATCAATGGCCTCCACTTCAAACTTCGACTCCGGTCTTGATTCGATGCCCGTCAACAAGCCTCCTTTCTTCAATGGAGCTAACTATGCCTATTGGAAGAATAGAATGATGTACTTCATTCAAGCAAGTGACATGGGAGCATGGAATGCTGTAGAAGAAGGATACATCAAACCTCTCACTCATCCAAGGTTGTGGAGTGAAGGAGAGACAAGAATGTTCCAGCTCAACTCCAAAGTCATCCATATTATTTTTTGTGCTCTTGGACCAGATGAATACGGAAGAGTTTCATCGTGTACAACCGCCAAAGAAATATGGGACAAACTTCAAGTCACACATGAAGGTACAGATGAGGTAAAGAAATCAAAAATTAGTATTCTAACGCATAGCTATGAAAATTTCAGGATGAAACCAAATGAAGACATCAAAGCTATGACGGATAGATTTTCAACGATTGTCAATGGTCTCAAATCATATGGAGAGATCATCTCAAATGAAAAGCTTGTGAGGAAGTTAGTCTACTCCCTCCCAAAATCATGGCAATCAAAGAAGACGGCAATCATCGAGTCTAAGGACCTATCGTCTTTAACTCTTGAAGAACTTATCGGTTCACTCCTCACTCATGAGATGATGCTTGAAGATGAGGTGGACCTTGATAAAGTTGAAGAGACACCAAAGGAGAAGGAGAAGAAGAAAAACATTGGAGTTGCTCTCAAATCCACAAAAGATGAGAGTGATTCTAATGATGATGATGACGAGGAAATGGCATTGTTTGCCAAACGGTTCAGAAAAATGATGAGACCTTACCAAGGAAGAAAATTCAACGAAACGAAGGCCTCAAAAATGAACCAAAAGAGAAGGACCCAATTATTTGCTATGAATGCAAAAAGCCGGGGCATGTCAAATATGATTGCCCACAATTGAAGAAAAAGGGTCAATCAAAGAATAAGCACAAGGCTCATGTGGCTACATGGAGCGATGAAGAAGGTTCCGATGAAGAGGAACAAGAAGTAGCAAACTTGTGCTTGATGGCATTCGGGGAAGATTCTAAGGTAACCTCTAACTCATCTGATTTTGATGATTTATCTTATGATGAGCTATTAGAGGAATATAATGGGTTGGCTTCGGATTATGAGAAATTATTTTTAAAATATAAAAATGATGTTTCAAAATTGAAAAATGAAAATAAACTCATATCCAAAACCAACAATGATCTTGAAAGTAAAATTAAAGATTTGCAAATCAAACTAGAAGAGTTTGAAAAGAAAAATTTAGATTTGCAAAATTTACTTTCAAAGGTCAATGATGATCATCAAAAGAAAATTGATGATCTTAAAATCTCTTTTGAAAAAGTTGGAACAAAACGTTTTGAAAAAGGAGAAAATTCAAAATCCAACTTTGTTAGAAAAGATTTTAGAAACTACAATCATAGAAATCCTCAACGAACCTTAAATGGTAAAATATTTAGAAGTATATGGGTTCCTAAAGGACTCATTACTACTAAAGATAAAGATATCCTACAAAAATGGATACCTAAGGGAACTAGGATTTTGGAAACTAATGAATATGGACCCAAAAGAATTTGGGTACCAAAAATCAAAAATTAATCTATGTTTGTAGGGAAAGGAGCATTGCTACAAGGCACGGGAAACAAATTCAAACTCATGGTACCTTGATAGTGGATGCTCAAGACATATGACCGGAGACAAAAGCCGGTTCATTGAGCTTAACGCCAAAAATGGAGGAGAAGTGACTTTTGGAGACAATTCAAAAGGTCACATTGAAGGTATTGGTACAATAGGTAATACCTCTTCCATACAAATTAAAAATGTTTTATGTGAATGGATTAAAGCATAATCTATTGAGTATTAGTCAATATGCGATAAAGGATTCAATGTCTTATTTGAAATTAATGGTTGTAAAGTCATTGACATTGCATCTAATCGGATTATGCTTGTTGGTCATAGAATAGGAAACATTTACATGGTGCATTTAGATTCTATTGATATGACTAATTTATGCCTAGTTGCTAAGGATGAGCATGATAATTGGTTATGGCATAGGAGATTAGGTCATGCTAGTATGAGTGTTTTGCAACGACTAATTCAAGGTGATTTAGTTCGAGGGTTGCCTAAGCTTAAATTTGATAATGATAAAATCTGTGATGCTTGTGCTAAAGGAAAACAAAAACGAGTTTCTTTTAAATCTATTAATGATGTATCAACTAGTAGAGTATTACAATTGATCCATTTAGATCTTTTTGGGCCAACTAGAACTACTAGCTTGGGAGGAAAACAATATGCATTTGTCTGGTAGATGACTATTCTAGATACACTTGGGTTCTATTCTTAAGTACTAAAGATGAAGCATTAGAAAATTTCATCACATTTTCAAAAATAATCCAAAATGAAAAAGGTTACTCTATCACTAGTGTTAGAAGTGATCATGGAAC